TACAACAAGAATGCCAGAGTGAGTACAGGACACAGTATCAATAGGGATAGAAATACAGGAACACAGTGAGAAGCATGTCAGGTGGCCCAGGGAAAGAATGAAAGATTAAAGCAAGAGCTTTTTCTAGGGTTGCATAAACCCAAAGGACTGGATTAGCAGCTCCTTTCTTCTACAGTGTCTGAGCTGGGGAACAGAAGGGATTCCTGCTATTCCTCACATATTCCTCTCAGAAGGTCTGGGTATGAAAGGACTCTTTACCCTCCAGCTAGGGGGCTGGTGGGAAATACTTACATGAGCTGAATCGGCATCATCAGAAGAATTTCCTCTACAGGTCGGTGGCTGTGGAGCCCAAGGACGTGAGCCCCACCGCATTCCTCCTCCTGCTCTGTTGATCTTTCAGCAGCCCCATGACAGCACTGCAATGCCAGCGACTCCAAAAAGAAGACAAAAAAGAAGCCCAGGGAGATGATGAGCTCTCCATAGGGATACTCGATCTAGGAACAGAAAGAAGGGCTGTGAGATGGGAAAGGAAGGGAAGACAGTGCAGTGGATGACATGGGACTGGGAGATTGAGGAGAATGGAAAAATGTGGTAAATGAACAGAAAAAACGGTAGAGAAATGAAGCCAAGAGGAGATAAGGACGTACAACAAGAATGCCAGAGTGAGTACAGGACACAGTATCAATAGGGATAGAAATACAGGAACACAGTGAGAAGCATGTCAGGTGGCCCAGGGAAAGAATGAAAGATTAAAGCAAGAGCTTTTTCTAGGGTTGCATAAACCCAAAGGACTGGATTAGCAGCTCCTTTCTTCTACAGTGTCTGAGCTGGGGAACAGAAGGGATTCCTGCTATTCCTCACATATTCCTCTCAGAAGGTCTGGGTATGAAAGGACTCTTCGCCCTCCAGCTAGGGGGCTGGTGGGAAATACTTACATGAGCTGAATCGGCATCATCAGAAGAATTTCCTCCGCTTTCTGTCCTGTTCTAGGGAGAAAGAAGCAGAAATTAGATGGGGGATGGAGCAGTTCAGCTTCCTGTATTGTTCCTTCAGCAACACTACTTTCCTTAAAGCCCAATGTGACCTGCTTTCATCGTTGCGCACAACACAAGAGCTCTCATCTTCCCTGTCCCTCCACCCATGTCCTTGGCTCCATCACTTCCCTCCCTCCCTTCCATGGTTCTATTGATCATTCTGGCTTCGCAGTCCTGAAGCTCGCATCTCTGCTGCTCACCTGCACCACAAACTTCTGGATCTCTGATTCAATTCCCTCCAGAGCTTCAGCGGTCATGTGCATGAGCCCTGCTCCCAGGAAAACACCGGCAGAAGTGCAGCCCAGGAGGCTGAGGACCTGGCGGTGACGACCTAATAAAAAGCAGAGGTTACAACACACTTGGCATGAGGAGATAGACAAAGGTAACAAAAGAGCAACAGGCAGCACCCAATATCCCGAGGTTGGGGATGGTGAGAATCAGAGCAAGGAATCAGCATAGGGCTGAGATGAGACTGAGGTTATGGGACAAAGTTGGGATAGGGCTATACCTGTGGCTGCTTCAGCCTGGAACCATTTGAAGCAGATGGGAATGAGGCCACAGCCCAGAGTGAGAGCCAGCAGGGCAAACAGGCAGCCAATTTTTACTCCTACTAGTGGCTCCATCTCTGGGGTGCAGGAGAAGCAGAAGCCTAAGAATGACAAATGGAGTTATTATATTTGCAGCAGGAGTGGTATCTTAGGTGGTCAGAACTGGAGTGTCCACGTCCCTAAGTTTCAGGACACTGTTGGTATCCTTTCTGTTCTGTGTTGCCTCTGCTTGTGCAGCATTGCATAGCTGACTTGGGCCCTGCCCCAGCTTCCCGCCCTCCCCCTACATGGAGGCCCCTCCCCTGGCTCATGCCTTCCTGAGCTTTGAAACCAGAAACTCCAGACTCCCTGCCAGGCACAGCCCAGTGCTGTCTTCTCCTCTTCAGTGCCATGACTAATCCAAGGGCTGTGGACAGTCTTAATTCATGCCTGGGGTTGGTCTTATACAAAATGGAACAGTCTATGGTGGCTAACTCCCAGCTATTTTGTGTTGGGGACAATCTGGTCCTGCCTCACTCCGGACATTTGATCTAAGCCTTCCATAGCCTCTCTACCCCATCCCAAATCTCATAGATTGCTATGCTGATACTTGAACCTCACCCTTTCAGAGGGGACTTGGGGCCGCCTGGGGTAAAGAGGTGGGGCTGAGAGGTGGTATTGCTGCCACTCTGTGGGAACTAATAGGTGATGGGGACTACCCTTTCCTTTAACCCCAGAAAAAAAGCTCTAGGCATGGAATTGTTTAGTGGGGAGTTGAGATTTTAGGTATTACAACACTGATACTGCCACAACTTCTGAATGTGCCTATTCCCTGATATGAATTGTAAGAGAGAGACTTTGAGTTTTAAGACAAAGAAAGTTCCTCTAATCTTGAAACAGCAAGGCCTAGGGGAAAACAGAAACGAACACAGTAAATGGAAGAATCCTGCCCAAATATATAGGGGTGAAGACAGAAGATTCGGTCCTGATAGAAATCAACTCTTGAAAGAACTGTATGGGCAAACTCTAGGGTAGCTGAAAGACCCTGGGAAAGACAGATCAGGAGATAAAGATAAGGACTACGCAGCTGCTGGCTCCCCTATTCAGGTGGCTTGAAGAACAACTGTGAGACCTGCTGAGCCAGTTCCAGAGAGCTGGGATGACTTTCCTCACTACTCCTGATTCTCTTTCAGGGAAAGTCCTGGTCTCTGATAGTAACAGAATTCTTACAGGACAGGGTAAGCTAGAGATGTGTGTGGAAGAATGGCCCTGAAAATCCGACTATTCTCTTCATTACATGATAGACCAGGACAACTGACTCTTATCCCTTTTAAGAATCACAAAATCCACTTCCATTCTTTAAAAATTTATTATGATGATTATTATTACTAAAACCTCAAACACA